TAGTTTATATGTCTTAGATTTATCCAATAAAGTTTTATTGATATTGAAAAGAGAAGTATCTTGTTTTGTGCTTACAAGTTAATGTCTTAAGCTGCCGATCTTGTTACTGTGCTAATTAATAGTGTTTTCACTATATTTTGGATATTAATATCCATTGCATAGTTGATAGTTATACGGCTATCATAGTTGATGTTATACGGCTCGTTCAATGAATCGCTGGCCGTCTCAGTGATCAGCCGTAAAACAGTGATTCTGTCCAAATTCCCTTTAAAATCTTAAATGATTCCCTTTGAGCTAAATTGACCTGTTTCCCTTACATTATTATTATTATTGTATTAATAGTTAAATTACCGAAAGTGTCTTTCAGTAGGATTTTTTTCAACAACAACAACAACAATAATACAAATAATAATAATAATAATAATAATGTTTTAATTTTTTAACATGGAGTATTAGATTATGATGCTTATTTAGATTACATTATTATTAATATTATTAGTAGTAGTAATAGTAGAAGTAGTATGTTACAATATAATTTGTGAAAGGTCAAAAAGAGTGTATTGAAAAAAAAATGGTTTTATTGATTAATTTACTGATTGATTGCATGTTCACTTTTAGGTTTACTGAAAAAGGTCTAATTTCTTCTAAATGTGGATATGGAGTAACTGTTTTCTACAGACAGCAGAATGTAGGCAAAACATGACTTTGGATGCAGTATCAGTGTGTCTTTTTGTTCTTTAATCCTTGATATCTTGGCAGTACAAATATGAGCTGTTAAATGTTCATCATATCACAGAATAAACTGCAGCTGCGGTATTTGTCAAAAAACAATCACAATGTCATTGTTTGCTCCAAGTTGTGCAGCTCATTCTACACCAGATCACAGAGCATTAAAAGACCGTAGACATGCGTGTTAGAAATGTTAAGCCACTAACCAACCAGAACATGATGTACGTATATTATAGCCTCATTCTCCCAGAAGTCTGCTCTTCTGCTTTGGAGAACAAACTGAATCTGAGAAAAATGTCAAGGAGTATCTGCCCTGCTCACCGAAGTCTAAAGTGAGCAAGAGCTTGTCCCCCTGCAGTCTCTGGGCATTTCAGGGCAGAGTCTTCATCTAATACAATGTGGCAAGGTCTGGCTACACTTTGGTCCACTTTACATGGCCACCGGCCAGCTATCTCTAGACCTATGTAGGTGATTTCAAATACCACTGAGTGTTTGTCCTACCAAAGCCCCCTGTGGTGCTACAGAACACTGCTGTAATATAGAATGTAGAGTCCCAGGGCAAACACAAAGCGACGGGACCTTGATTTGTTGTTCTAGTCTTGTTGAGGCTTTCAGCCTTGATCTGTCTCAGAGTTTTATCCGTAACAAAAGCTCTTTGTTTATAGAAAGGGCCCAGGGACACACTTCACTGGCATCAATATTGCTTTACAGACTCGTATTTTGCGCCTCTAGCATTGCCTAAAACTCACTTCTTCCTGTTTGGTGAGCAAGCAATGAGCCTCAGTTAAAACTGCTGTCTTGCTAGTCACCACAGGCCAAGAGTTTGGTCTTCCTTGCTTTTTTTTTTTTTTTTTACTGGCTGGATGCTGTGAAAAGGGTTGATTGACTTCTTGGCTTCAATTACCGTCCTACATACATTTAGCTCCTCTATCCAAATACTAGGTCTATAAAATGCACAGTTGTCAAGGAAACCATCTGAAGCAGTGAAGCCAAGCCGTAAGTGTCATTGTATACAGACCAGACCACAATGCCAGGAAATCTAAAGTGAGGCTTAGAATAAATAGTGTCATTGTGATGCTCAAGATGCAGTGATTCTATCTGAATACTAATATCTTCAATGTATGCTTGTTTACAGAGAGCTCAGTGAAGGGCTTCAAATCTAATCAAATTAAACAGCTAAGAAATTGTTATCCCCTGAATGAAAGGTACGTAAGATTTCTTCCTAAGCTCAGATTCAGATCACATTTGAGCACCAAATCCTATTTTAAGCCACTCAGTGAGCTGAGATGAGTTTAATTTAGTTTGAACTCAACATCTCTAGCGACGTACCCTGCATGCTGATTAAGGTGTCCACCATGACACCGGAGCCACAGGAAGATTTAGTTTAACACTGAAACATGTTATCGTGCATGCTGCCAAATGACTAAGCAGTAAAACATAAGGTTTTAGCTCAGCTGAGGTTGTAATGGGAGCACCTGGGTGGTCGGTCTACGAGATTCTGAAATGTCTATGCATAAGCAGTGTATCACATTATGCTTCACTACATGCGTGAGTGCCTTTGGGGGGCATGACCTGCATACATGAGTGGTATTACCATGAATCCTCATCACTAGCCTTCTTCTCTGTTGGGGCTGTTAAATTAGTGTGATTAATTATACAAAAAATTATGCAATGTAATTTCCGTACTTGGATCGTTCTTCTTCGTCAGGCACTTTAATACCCCAGAGTTTGATTTTTTTTTTTTTTTTTCCTCTTTCTTTTTCTTCCTTTCTTTCTTTAGTAATACACTAACATTTTTTTTTTTATCATTTATTTTATTTATGTGAAGATCACATTAAAATTGTATTTTTCCATGTCGTCATCACTTTTTAATGACTGTTATGTATTTATAGATTATATACTTTCAATCTTAATCTTATTTATGATTATGGGGGCATATGTTCGATTAATAAAGACATGCAATTCCTTGCACAATATTGTATTATGACCTCAAAACACTTTTACCATACATGATTTGTAAGATAATACAGTTTGAGGTTTGAATCTCACAAGCAGCTCCACTTGTTTGCAGCTCCACAAAGTAAAATTGCTTAGAAGCTCACCTGGTACAGCATTGTACTTGTGATGTGGCGCGCTTGGAGTCCTGTGAATCATGAGTCACTATAACAGAGCTCAAAGGTTGCTTTAGCAAATATTTTTTATCTCACAATTGCTTTTGTTAACACTGTTGGTTAGGTTTAGGGCTGTTCACACCAAGAATGATAACTATTATGATAACTATTTTAGCGTCCACACCAATGCACAATAATGTTGTTTATTATAAGTGAGTGCTGCAGTTATGTAGTCTGTCACTTTAAATGCTCAAGCTATTTAAAGCAGGATGGATTTTGATTGGCTGTAAATGTTTTTTATTGTTCATCAGCTGGAAATAAATTGTTGTGAAAGTGATTTCAGTGGTATTGTTCCTCTGTGACGTTAGTGTTATAGTTGTGGTTTGGACAAAATCTAGAAAGACTTTTAAAACTATCTATCTTTATTGTTATAATTATAGTTATAACATTTGGTGTAAATGGGACTTTAGGGCAGGTTGTATGTTATGTTTAAACATGAAAGAGCATTATTTTAGCACCACTCACTGTACATTTAATTTCTGGAGTTAGGCATTATGTAAAACAACAGATTCATGTTTATCTGTTTCAATAAAACTGACTCTTTTAGCGCCTCTTACTGAACATGCAGCAATGCAATGTAATTTTGCAGAAATGTCACAGGCATGTATTTCCAAGTGGTTGATTTTAAAATATATTAAAATTGGACAGTTATGTTAAATCTTACCAACCCCAAATATTTTAAAAGTGTGTGTGTGTGTGCGCGCGCGTTTTTGTGACAAATGAGGACATACATTTGTATAATGACAAGGTTATGACATATATATAATGATAAGGTCATGTCCCCACTTTTCAAAACGCATATAAATCACACATAATGAAGTTTTTTGAAAATCTAAAAATGCACAAAGTTTCCTGTGAGGGGTAGGGTTGGTGTAGGGGGATAGAAAATATGGTCTGTACAGTAGAAAAACCATTACGCCAATGGAGAGTCCCCACAAGGATAGCTGACCAGACGTGTGTGTGTGTGTGTGTGTGTGACTGTGTGTGTATTAGTGGACAAATTAGACCTAAGCAGTGAGAGTTTGAATAGTGTGTTTAAAGATACCAATTTTCTAAAGTCCACAGGGCCAAAACTGCCAGTAGTCGAAAAAAAAAAAAAATCTGGCAATACTAGCAATTCAAGCATGAAGTACAGCCTTTAGTCTTAAAAAATGCTGTGTTCTTTTTAATTTTAACTTTTAAAAATTAAACTTTAATTGATTGGCAGCCTGGACACTACTCAAATACAGAAATGAGGATGAGCTGCAATTATGAGAAAATATGTACCATCTTCACTTCCCTTTTAAGAAGTCTTCTAATGATACTACTGGTTGTGGATTATCTTGGTTATGTGATTATAGAGTGTGAATGTGGAATTTTCTCTGAACGGTCATCTCTAAAAAAAAATATTGTCCATTGGGCTGACACTAGAGAACAAGAGCATTACTGACAGTGTGAGATATGGCTCTCCGAAAGTGTGTTGCACCTTGTCACAACTACTATGTGTTTATTAGTCTGCAGAAGAGTGAACATGCTTTGATCCAGGTTCTGTGTCTGTTTATGCATAGGAAGACAATGCAAAGCTGGGTCATTGTGAAAACCAACTCAGCGTATCAGTAGTGTGCAGTGGACTATCACCAATTACCATTTTACTCCTTTTAGCCTCATGTTTTTTAAATAAATACATCTCTAGAGGCAGTTCAGTGCTGTCAATGCAAGTTTTGCCTTCCCTTCCCACTGCAAGAGCCACAATAATACACTGTAATAGTCTTGCAACGGACCATATAATATAAAGTTTGGCCAAAAAGTAAGTTTGAAAGTGACATCACATGGTTATAACTGTCATCTGAAACATGAGCCTTCTTGAAATGCATTTCCAGTATTTATGAGCCAGAATCAGCCCTCCGTACACAACACACCCACTGCAATACTTCCTCCCACCTTAATGCACTTGTTCTTCAAA